ATTATCTTTGCAGAAAAATACAATGTCTAAGGTCAAAGTAGTAATACTCTGTCTCTTTTATTTATACATATATATGTGTGTATGTATGTATGTATATACACACACATGCAAATATGTGTGTGTGTGTGTGTGTGTATATATATATAAAGTATATATATATGCTTTATTTCCCTCCAAAAAGGATGTGAATTCACTTTTACTAAATTTAGAGGTACAAAAACAACACCTACAAGATAAAATATAAAAATAACAGTTAAACAGTTCTGAAAGAATTTGTGACTAAGAAAAACACTAACTTTAAGCTTTCTAGCAGCCAGTACAAAGAAGGAATGAGTTCTACAGCTCTCACATTTTTGTAGAAAGAATGTAAAATTAGAGAAAAGTTTTACCTAGTTCTAAGCTCTGAAGATAATTTGTCGTGTGAGGTTTTATAAGCAAATGAAATTATTATTGAAATTATCAGAGCTAAAATGATAGTTTGGGATCTTTTTTGTTTAACACTGAAATATTTATTAATATTGGTATTTTTTAAGTTCAGAATTCATAAAGCAAAAAATCAGTAAAAACAACATTTAATATATTTCAAATTGTAAAATGTCTAAATATATTACAAAATATCAAGAAATATCATTTGTAAAAATGAATGTTGCTATAATCCAAAAGAGAGATAATGAGTGTTGGCAAGGATATGGAGAAATTGAAACCCTCATACATTGCTGGCAGGGATATAAAATGGGGCAGCCACTTTAGAAAAATGTCAGTTCCTCAAAAGGCTAAATATAGTTACCATATGACCCAGCAATTCCACTCCTACATGTATAGCCAAGAGGAATGAAAATCTAAGTCCACATAAAAACTTGTACATGAATGTTTATAGCACCATTATTCGTAATAGCCAAAAAGTGGAAACAACCTAAATGTCCATCAACTGATGAATGAATAAACAGAATATAGTATATCTAAACAATGGAATATTATTCAGCAACAGAAATAAATGACATACTGATATATCCTATGACATAGATGACCCTTGAAAATAATGTCCTAAGCAAAAGAAGTCAGTCACAAAATACCACATATTGCATAATTCCATTTATATAAAATGTCCAGAACAGGCAAATGTATAGTTGCTTGTAGCTGACAGGGCCAGGGATAGGGGGGTGGGTGATGGGGAGTAACTGCAAAGGGTACAGGGTTTCCTTTTGGGATAATGAAAATGTTCTAAAATTGATTGCAGTGATGGTTGCACAACTCTATGAATATATTAAAAATCATCAAATTGTACACTTTAAATGGGTTAATCATATGTTATATGATTCATACCTTAATAATGTTGTTATTTAAAAATAATTCTATGCCTAGCAAAATAACGCTTAAGAAATGAAGGCTCTACAAAAAAAAAAAAAAAAAAAAGACATGTCCACAGTAGGAAAAAGCCTTAGATAAATAATCGCTATCAGACTTGCCTTATAAGAAATAAAAGGAAGTTTGTCAGGTTGAAGAGAAATTGTAATTAAAACATGAGTAAAAGTAATTACATAGGAAAACATAAAATACAATATAAATATATTTTTCTTTCCTTATCACAACTGATTTAAAAGATATCTGCATAAAACAATAATTATTAGAACATTGTTAAGTTTAGAATACATAAAGAGATACTGTCTATGATAATAATAGCACAAAGGAGGAGAGAGCAAGCAAAGCTATGTTGGAACAATTTCTGTATACTACTGGAAATGTTAGCATTAATGTGAAATATATTGTTTAAAGATGTAGATCGTAATCCCCAGAGCAACCACTAAGAAAATAATTCAACAAATAGAGTAAAAAAGGGAATTAAAATGGTACACTAAAAAATATCTATTTAATGCAAAAGTAGGCAGTAAAGAAGAAATAGAGAAGAAAAAGTACGTGAGACATACATATAGAAAATAGCAAAGTAGTGGTTATAAGTAATTATATTATAATCAATAATTATATTAGATGTAAATGAAACAAGCACTACAATTAAAAAAGAGATTATCACACTACATTAAAAAACTGGCTCTAACTGTAGGCTGTCTAGGACATATACACTTAGATTCAAGACACCAAAAGTTTGAAAGGATGGAAATGATATACTACGCACACATTAACCACAAGAGCTGGAGTGGCTCTCCCAATGCATTACTTTTCTATTGTTGTGCAACAAATTGCCACAAATTTAATAGCTTAAAACAATACCCATTTACTAGCTCACGGTTCTATAGGTCACAAGAACAGGCAGGTTCTCTCTTAAGGTCTTGGAAAGCCAAAATCAAGGTGTTAGCCAAGCTGGCTTCTAATCCAAAAGCTCTAGGGAAGATCAGCTTCCAGAATAATAATAATCTGCTTCGAAGTTCAAAGAATCTGCTTCCAAGTTCAGGTTGTTATAAAGTGTGTTAGAAATATTCTCACGTAGTGACATCAGAACCTTGGGGGAGTGAGAGACATCCCCAGATCTCTCCCCTTGAAACAACAATAAGCTGAACATCTAAAACTCAACATAAAACACCCAAACTGACACCAGCAGGTCTGAGCATGAGATCTGCGCATAAGGGTTACCACAGGTCAGAATCCCCGGTGTTGGGCAGTGGACTGGGAAAGATAAAGAAGCTGCCTCTTGCAGCCGCAGGAGCTCCTTGTAGGAGGAGGGGAAGGGAAGAAGATGCAGTGAATTCACGGAACAGCCCTCCCTGAGAGTGCTGTGAGCTCCATGTGGCTGGCGGCAGTGCCCAGTCATCAGGACAGAAGGCAGACAAATGGGGACGCCAGAAAAGTGGGGATGGCAGATAAACAACAGTTGATTTTTGCCAGCCACAGTTGCAAAACAGAGGCTGAACTGTAGCCCACAACCCACAACCCAGAGGGCCCCTCCCCCAATACCCTCCAAGACAGAATGCCCCGGAACCCCAGGAGAATCTGAGCAAACGCTACCGAAACTGTTGCTAACATTGACAGGAACTGAGACTGAGGGTAGCCAGCATGACTAAACATCTATAAGGGAAAAAAAAAGACGTTATTAAGACTTTATATAAAGCAAATATCCAAAAGGCTTAGACGCCACCTACTGGAAACCAAAAGAAAAGCACCTTCTTAGCAACAGGCTAGGGACCAATATATAATAAATCTTCTTACTGGGGGAAAAAAAAAAGCAAAGCACACTTCCATTAATGCCCAGGAA